TGTGTGTGTGTGTGTGTGTGTGTGTGTGTGTGTGTGTGGTTTGTTGGGAAATGACGTCACTCCCAGTTACCATTTCCCAGAATACGATGTAAATGGAACGCAGCCATATTTTATTAGTGAGCCGAGGAGCCGGAATGGCCTTTTTGATTGTGAAGTTTGCAGACCCCAGATTTGGAGGCTTCAATATTAAACCAAACTGACAGCATTCAAGAACGTTTACAACCCAATGTGTGATACTCAGCGTGACAACTGAAACTTCATCACAATGTTGTCAGTGTGACCTCCATCTCACGTGCTTTTTGTCCTCGCACAAAAGCTGAAACGACAGGAAAAAGTARACCTGGTTCCCGCGGCTTCTAACAAAACACCTCAAAGAAAACTTTAACAGGGAAGGTTCCAGACGGCCGTCCACACCCATGGATCCCAACACAACACATCACAATCCAGACATTCTGCCCAGAAACACTTCCTGGCGTTTGAACACACAGCCAAATGAAAGAAAAGCACAGTCACACACCCAAACACACCCACACTAAACAGGTATTGCTCACCGCTTTCAAGAATGGAACTTTACGGCTTTGCGTGACTTGCAGTGAAATCTGCAATTCAACCATAAACGTGTTTCGCATCAAACCCATTATTTAAGCTTAAATGCTCGTTTCATGTCACTGGGTTTCAGGTCACACAATCAGGATCCTTATCTGTGTCAAATTACAGCTCAGGTTTGACAGGAAGGAGTTCAAGGCAGAGCCATAAACACTATACAACTGTAAGACTCACGAAGGGCAATAAAAAAGTTTTGATCTTTTTTCTGAGAAAGCAAAACTACCAAAGATTTCATTTATGACTTCAATAATATGTTAGGAAGGCAATTAATCTGATATATCGGTACCCTTTATTCACCTCAATAGGTTTGTCTCAGAGGGTTAAAATAACACACTTCAATCATCTGCTTTCTTTTTTTAAATCATTGTATTAATGCTGATTATCTTTTGTAGTTACAGGTCACATAAAAACTTTCTGGCATCCTATCTCGGAACTGGATCAGAGCAGGAGAAGCTTCAGAAACCCATGGGTGACATTATGGTGTGAGGATGAATCACAACGAGGTGGGTGTCTTTGACTTCTTTCTGTGCAAACTGATAACACCTCTTTGTGTTGTTTTACAGCTGCGGTTAGCCTTTCATCCTGCTGCCCCTTGGGTCAAAATGAACCACAACTGAGGCCCGCCGTGGTCATTTTGAACACATTTTTAGCATTGTAGTGTTAAAAAAAGAAAACAAAAACTAGAGATAACACTAACTGGGTTAAATGGGTGGAGTTCCCAGAAACCATTTTTATCAGTTGCTCAGCATGATCAGCTTTTTCCTAACTCTGTTTATTGTCTTGTCAAATTGTTTTATACAACTTTCTGTCAGTCATTTAACTAAATATAAACCCCGTGAAACATAAAAGCCTTATTCTGACCACCTGGACTATGTCACTAAAAGAGAAAACACAAGAGTTCAGAAGAGAAGCGGCCAAGGTGTGGCAGGAAGCTCCAGCTGGAGGGCAAATTTTACTGTTGCAAGAAAACTCTTACTTTTAGACCTAAATTTACGCTTTTAAGTTTCAGGTCTATGATGAAAAATGACAGAATTATGCTTGCCTGACTATTTGTCATGAAACTTCATATTTTATTCTAGTGTTCAGAGCCAACTTGTGGCATAGGTTGTATAGGCATGTGCTAAGGGAGCTGTCAATCGAGGGGGGAGCCATAAATGTTTTATAACTTTTTATTATAGTTGATTTAGTCTGTAGGATAATCACAGGTTACTCAGGTTTATGAAACTTGTTCTCTGGGTTTCTCAGACTGCTTTGTTCCTACATGAGGTGTTAAATGGTGCAGATGATGTTTTACGATAAAAGTATCAAATGATGCGGTCAAGACTAACTACTTGTGCTCAGTGTTTAAATAAAAACAAAATAAGGGCAATGGAAGTTTCATTTAGGATCTCAGACATAGTCAAAGTCTGGTTTTCAGTGGTCTACCTTCATAAAATGCTGATTTTATTTTGTTTTATTAAACCCAAGAATTTAGGAAAATAAAGAGTTTTGAATAGATCTTTTACAAACTTTTCYACAAGAGTATATGGACCCCCCAGAACTGCTTCACTCCACAGCTGCTTATTAGCACGAGCCGGTGTTCCTCAGGTATGAGGTAGACCTCGTGTATTCTGTTTCAAATTAACATTAATTAACATTAACATTAATTATATTTTTTTCAATTTTAATTAGCCACTTGGTTTCGATATGCAAAAAATAGCATCAAAGAAACCTTTTAATTTGCTACGTGTTTGTAAATTGAACAAGGGGCACTACTTAAAATTTTGCCTAGGTTGCTAAATTTGCCTGCTAGTGTTTGTACAGATTGCTATGAATTTTGTTGAGATTGAAGCTGTTTTAAAATTACCTCAATTTACATTTGATCTTGGTCCTGCTTGGACTAGCCGTTAGCTCGACAACCCCAGAACTGAGTTTGGTCAAACAGATAGGATGGTAAAATGTTTATAACCTGAGTCTCTCCTCAAAAAACCTATCTTTAAAGTCTGATCTGAATTTTTAGTTCAGCAGGATTAAAGGGATCCATGATTAGTTGTAACAATAAACTTTATTTGATAAACATATATTTTAACTGTAAAATAAAGACTGTAAAAATACTGTAGGCTGTTTAGTTTTGTAAATTTTTTAAAATATATTTTAACACGGACGGAGCCATTTTATTTACACGCAAAGCATTCTGGGTAAATGATGATGTGTATAGGTCCTCTGTGTGAGCGAGCTATATCCACCCTGAAGGTTAATCTTGGACAATATCTGATGATCGACTCTTTTAAATGAAACCAGAGAGCGTTGACAGAGAGGAGAAGGTAGAAATGACTCAGCCTGGAACTGAAAATATAAATGGAGGACAACAGAGCTGCTTCATGGAAGAAGAACCTCAGCTTGGCCTGTTAGCCTTTGCGCTAGCACCAACACTATATTGCTTCATATGTATTAGCTCAGCGCTAGCACGACAAACAAGCTAAACTGAGGTCCTCCATCCATATTTTCAGTTGCAGGCTGAGTCATTTTTGTGTTCCCCTCTCTGTCATGTGGATGGAGGACCTCAGTGACGAGAGGAGAATGTGTAGCGCTGAGCTAATACATATATGTGGTGATGGTGTCAGGGCTAACACTAAAGCTAACAGGCTAAGCTGAGGTTCTTCTTCCATGAAGCAGCTCTGTTGTCCTCCATCTATATTTTCATTTCCAGGCTGAGTCATTTCTACCTTCTCCTCTCTGTCAACGCTCTCTGGTTTCATTTAAAAGAGTCGATCATCAGATATTGTCCAAGATTAACCTTCAGGGTGGATATAGCTCGCTAGCAGCCTCGCATCGATGACCTAGTTGATGTCATCATTTACCCAGAATGCTTTGCATGTAAATAAAATGGCCCCGTCCGTGTAATATATTTTAAAACTTTTAGTTTAAACATTATAAAAAGTGAACATCCTATACAGTATTTTTACAGTCTTTATTTTACAGTTAAAGTATATGTTTATCATATAAAGTCTAATGTTAAAACTAATCGGGGATCCCTTTAAAAATGTAGAGACAGGAYAAGGTAAAAGCTCCATTTCTGGTCTTTAAAATATGAATTAAACCTTGACCCAGTTGGTGTCGTGCCATTTGCTTAGGCAATACCGTGGCGCTAAGAGCATCCAATCACAGCTTCCTGTTTTCCTGTTGGTATAAATTCCTACGATGTGTTTCCTCTAAAAGACTTGCTTAAGCCCGTCTAATCTCAGCTCACGTGAGTCTTAAGCCGAACAGGAAGGAGTGGCTGTTGGAACCTATACGCTTGTTTGTTGTTGATGAATACGTCAAGTTGCATCATGCAAGCAGTCGTGCCCGCTGGGAGAATTAGTGTGAATAATCCAGGGGTGTTTCAGCCTATAGCTCTGCATACCAGCGTGAAAGAAAAACCCTCACAACAGAGCGCAGACATTCACCCGCGTGTCCAAACCATGACGGCGCAGACACGCTTACCGAACACGCCGTGATGTTGCTGTAAGAGCTAGTCCGCATTACTCACATCTTATCAGCAAAGAGCCTCCACACGCAAGACTTGCATTGTTCAAATGTGGAAATTTATTTTGCCTGGAGACAAACACTGTGACTGAGCCAGTTTTCTCCTTTTTTACCTGCATGTCTTTCTGTCTTCCACAGCCAGCTGCACAAGTTGAGGATAAAGAAGACGAGGCTGAAGATCTGAGTCAGGAGGCGGCTTCCCTAGATGCTATGTAAAAACCCGTTTCACAGCTTTTTAGGATTTAATTTATTTAGTATGATTATTTATTGCTAACTGTGTAAGTGTTGGATTTTCTATTATAATGTCACGTATATGTGAATGCTGAGCATTCAGTCTTTATTGTTCTGTAGGTTTGGTTTTTATTTATTGCACTAAATTTGTTACAGGTCAGAAATAACAAAAAAAAAAACCTTTGTTGTAACTCTGGTAAAGAGATTTTGATCACCAATAAAGTGTCTCAGTGTTACATGAAAGAGTTGTTTTGTCCACGTGTCTCTGCCTGGAYATTTGACTTCTTGTCTCTGGATCATGTTTCTTCAGAAAGAAGAAAAACAAATATAAAAAAAACCCTGAATCTCGGTCTGTAGCCAAACTTTTGGCAAACAAGAACAACCCTGAAGGAGGTTCTCAGAAAACACACCTCTGAGGAATTCTGATTAACATGACCGCAGCATGAAGGGATGAACTGCAACAAGCTGGATCACATGCAGAGAGATGATGAAAAAAGAAAAATGATTTACATTTCTTTAGTGGTTAGATGCCAGGGGATAAATGGAGTGTTTCACAGATAGATAACTAGAAAAAATAAAGGTTGTTATGGGGACTGTTGTTATCAGTAACTTCACCCAAAAATACTTGAAAAAACTAAAAAAGAAAACAGTCTTACTCAAGTTTTCTGTCTTTTGCAAGTAAAATTTAGACTTTTGGGCTTCTATTTAATTCACAACGTGAGCTTTGTGCCTTTGCTGCAGACCACACAGCATCTGTCTGTGCTGCTGCAGATTCCCACATTTAATTCAGCTAATATTCGTGCATTTTTCCATATTCATAGAAATAAATGAAAAAAAAAAACACCTGATTCTCAACGACCAGCACTGCTTAAGGTATCCCCGATTAGTTGTAACATTAGACTTTATTTAATAAGCATACTGTATATTTTAACTGTAAAATAAAGACTGTAAAAAT